TCTATCTAATATCTATCTATCTATTTATCTATCTGTCTATCTATCTATCTATCTATCTATCTATCTATCTATCTATCTATCTATCTACTTTTCTATCTATCTATCTACTTGTCTATCCACCTGCCTATCTCTCTCTTTCTGTCTCCCTTTTCCTTCTTTCTATAAGGTTCTCTCTCTCTCTCTCTCTCTCTCTCTCTCTCTCTCTCTCTCTCTCTCTCTTTCTCTCTCGCTCTCTGTCTCGCTCTTGCTATCTTGTTTACTATACTATTTATGTACAAACTGCCTTCTTTCATCAGCCTTTCTTTAACTACTAGAATCTAGACGAACATCATGTTCCGTTTTCTATAACAACCACGAGTGTTTTGTTTAGTTCTGATTTTTAAAAATTACAAGTAATTACATGGCAGTCCTAGGCCAACCGATATATATATATATTTATATAACAGCAAACAAGTCTTAGGTAGTGAAAGTGTCAAAACATTCACTTTGTCTATTGATTGTAAAGATTTTTCGTCTACTTTTGCCCAATTTGGATCTTGTAGTGGGCAGACTGCTTAACACTGCCAACCGTGCCCAATACGAGCCCTCTATACTATGAGATCATGTAAGTTTATTATAGAATTATGTATGCTATATCCAAGGATGAAGGTTGCGATACTTGACAAAATAACAACTTTCCTTTGTAGGTATCGAACTCACGACGTTTGCGTGCAAGGCGTGCAAGGCAAAACACACGTTCATTAAACTTATTAGTCAATAAATCGAAAGGACCTCATAACGAGATGAAAAGAACGGGGAAGGGGGCGGGGTTTGACCGATTTTACTTAGAAGAAAAATGTTTGTCTCATTTCTTATTTATGACTGTCTGTCTTGCTTTTCATAAGCACAAAATGATTATTATTGTATCGGTGTGCTTCTCTTTACTGAAACAAACAAATAGTCAAACAAACAAAGAAACAAACAAACAAAACAAAAAAGCAAACACTCAAACAAACGAACAAACAAACAAACGAACTGAGTTTTAGATAAAGGAAGCAGTTTTGAAAAAGCTGAATGAATAGCTAAGTTATGTGTCCATTTTTATGAGCCCAAAAACAGCGCGTCCTCAAGAGTTGTTGAGTGAATAGGAAGTCATGCATCCTCAACCAGTGAACGGGACAAGGTCCAGCACGCAGGTGCAGGATCAAATACGGAAGTAAAAACGGAAAAAAACCTCCACTCTATTTTGGATA